CAATAGCAGTATCTTTTTTTCTTCAAAAGAGTACCTTTTAGTACTAAAATTCATTTTTGCGATATAAATTTATTTTGTTCAATACCTGATGCAACTCAGATGTTAGGCAGTATGGTGGTTTTTCTCCCGGAGGAGAGATATCAAGCTTCAGTGTCCCTACAAGATATTTAAAATGGTAGGCTTAAGAAAATAATAACCACAAAAATAATTACTCATGATTTTACTGTGAATAAGAATTAATTTTCCTTTCTGGCAGCCCTCAAGGTCTGGTGATGACTAGTGACAACTGGGACAAAAAGCTCTTAGCTGTGTGACAAGGTAATACTTTCTTAGACTTTTAATATAAAAGGGCAAGTTGCCTCACCCACCATTGGACAGAAAAACAATTTTAATTACAAAGTTAACAAACATTAATTTTGGAGAAAGAAACTTAAAGGACTCTCAGTACAGAGAAATTTTTCAAACTTTTGCTCTAAAAATGTCTCTCTTGTTGTTGTTGTTGTTTTAAGTAGGATACTCTATAATTTATTATGCTCTAGATATCTTACTACTGCAAAAAACAAATTGACCCAAGAACCAATTAATAACATAATTTTAACAGCTCTAAAAAATACAAGAATTATACTTACCTGGAATGCATTTAAGGCGTTTTAATACTGAAGAAGGTCTTTTCAGGTCAGCTAAGAATTTGTACAGATCTTCGTCTTTCAATTTATCTGATTCCTGGACAAAATTTTAAACAAATATGTTATAATTTACTATAATTATAATCAGCAGAAAAAAAAGTGAAAAAAAAATTATACCAAGTAAAGGCAGATCAAAGTTGGCCAAGGTGCTGTTGTTTCTAGTCATACCTGTTTGAAAAAACTACTGACAGTGAGTGTGACAGGTCTAAAGTTCGTCAAGTCTGGGACCACTTCTAGTTCACTGCCATCTAACAGATGAATTGACTTGCGTGCCTCAATTAGCGAACTTCGGCTGGAAACACTTTCACTGTCCTTGCGCTTGCTACTTCGTGGCACAACAGGGGGTGTTTCTACAATACCAGATTGCTAGTGGAAAAAAGACCAATTGGCTACTTTGAGAACTTAATGAGTGATCAGTGTGAAAAGAGTGAAGTTTCTTTCATTCAAGTAATCTTTAGCAACTAAGACACCATAAGTTCTGAAAGAAACAACTCTTGAAACTTCCAAATTTACATGTAGCAGGCACTTTTGAGTAGCGTAAATGTGTGCAATGTGGTACACATCTAGAGTTTACAGAACGTTTGTTTCTTCCAGAGATTGCATACTTTTTTAACTCAAAATCCACTGAATTTCATCAAAAAATTCATTCAACTTCCTTTACATTTATTTAATTACTTTTGTACTATAGCAACTGTACTTACCCTGTTACTTTCTGAATTGTACTCCAATCAGTCCAATTACTAATATTACTAAACTTTGTACCAAAAATTAATAAAAAACAGTGATGTCTTTCTTTACATATCACTTTTTCATCTCCTACTTTTCCACAGTTTTAAAAATCAACTACAAGTACTTTGACTGCAAAATAAGTGAGATATGAAAAGCAACGATTAAGATCATTTTTGTTTTAACTACACATTTCAGACAATTCAAGTAATAATAAATATTGCAAAATAAAGTTACCAAGAAAACCTCATAGCATGGCAACATTTTGAATACAGCTACATGTAAGAAGAACTTATCATGATTTTAGCTCTCAAGCTGACCTTGCTAGAGAAAATCCAGTTTGAAGTCATCCATATTCTAATCAAAACGGATGTTTCATGCCAGTTTAGAACAAAATAACACATGCTTTAGCATTTTATGAGGTTTGACATTAACTTTCTAGAGAATGCTGGAAAATGTAATTGCAGGGCACTTTGAGAAATGAATTAAAGTGAGATGTTTCATATAGTATTCAAAATGTTACTGTGCTTTAAGTATATTTTGTGGAAATCTTTTCTTGCTCTTATTACTCGATGAACTTTGAGTGGAATCCATCTTAATAGATGCAGCTTGTCTACATTTGGATTTATTACCTTCCTAGCTGGAGTTCCTGCTGGAGTTGTCTCTTTTTCCTGTGAAGGGCCTGTTGCTGCTGCTGCTGTTGCTGCTGTATCAGTGCTTGCTTGTTTTCCACTTATGATGTCAACAAGATGAATTGCAGTCCATGCAAAAGGCATGCGATACTTGCCAAGCCTCTCACAATTTGATACAGCAGCCACACGCATCTTCTCTCGATGCTTGGTTTATAAGAAGGAGAATGACAAAAGAAATGACAAACTTTCACTTTGGTCCATATATATGTGTTTAAAACAAATGAGGGGCACTGATCTATATGGCTAGTCTCCTGCCTATCCAGAGTTCTATTCTTGGGAAAGATAATTATGTGAATTATTACATGATAAGATCCTCCCAATGTTTTTATTCTCAACTTTTTAATACCACATGATGAACAAAAATTTTGTGAAAGAGAGACGGAGATCAAAAAAGAATTAAAAACTCAGGAACAATCAAAGGCCCTTTGGTTAAAAACTGTCAAAGCTATTGATGGGCTGAATTACAATCATGTTTACACCAACCTTTGTTGCATACCAAATAGCCTTTAATTTTAGGGCATTTGTTTGACTCCAAATGTGAAAGATCGGTGGTTGCTTTGGCAGCTATTTTGTTCACAATGGTTGAGCAAAGTCGCCTCTTATGTTGTGTGCACTGGTCAACAGAATTACCACAAAAGGTTGTGACCCATCAATTGACCGAGTGACTGAATGAATAAGTGGATTTTTTCCACAACTAGCTACCATAACTCCCTCTGGCTAGGCCATAACTTGTTAAAAATGATATCAGGCTATTGACAACACAACAATTACAGCACAACAAAGTAGAGTTTAATTAAATTTCTTAGCATGATTTTCTTTAGTGATGAATGCTACATGATAGCTCAGTTTGTAGAATACAGGGGTACAGTATTTATTTCATCTTGGGATTGCTGGTTCAAATACATTCGAAAGGAATTTGTCTTTTTTTTCTTTCTTTGTTTTTGCCAAGAATGAACAGTGGCTAGATAATCATTTTCCAAAACTCTGCTGTAGCTTTCCTGAAAATTTGTCCCATACCAAGGACAAAACATTATTTGGAAATTTATACCTGTAAGCTATGACAAAAGGTTCAATTACATCTGGAAACTAAAGCAGGTTTGCACTGATTTCACTATGAAAATAATTAGTGAATTATTAAACAAACAAACTCGTACAAGGAAATCTATCTCACTTAAATTATTTTGTGTTTGTCTATGCCTACTCCCCAAGTCTACTTCTTGTAACAAGAGATCTGGATTATAACCAACATTAACGCCCTGACACGAAATAAATTATACACAGCAAGTCAGAAGATGGTCCCTCTGGCTACCCTTGAATGAAATTTTAAATCTACCCACCATCCTCTAACTTACACAGCATGAAACTAGAGCAACTCTCTCTATCTTAAACATTTAAAAACCTTACGATACATGTATAATATAATGTTGCTTCTGCTAGAGAAGGATATCCATTATATGTCCAAAGTTCATCAAGATCAAATAAGCTCTTGAGTTGTGATCAAATATTTAATGACGGCCAATGATGACACAGTTTAAAATCTCTGTGGAACGTAGGCTTATTGAATAACTATGAAACAAATTCTGGGAAGGCTCACAGATACATACACATGTAAAGAACTAAAATAAACAACCATTATTTTACTGTCAAACTCAGAAAAC